CTGCTCGATAGACTCAGAAAGTAACTGAGCTTTCTGGCTGGTGGCTGTTCTTCTTTATAGGTTTCTTCCTCCTCCTTTGGTATTAATAATTCTAGATGAATATCATGGCACAGAAAGATGGGACAGTGTTATGATACAGTGAGCATTTGTACAGTTATTTTGGTCTTGTTCTAGAATTCTTTTATCTGTAATCAATCTTAAATATCAGTACAAATATAAAGGCCTTTCATCTTAAATCTTAAATCTTCTCGTGTTTCATATAGCTTCACTGCATTTTGCTATGTTAGTAAAGGCAGAGGAACTCATGTACCTGTTTCCTAATAAATAATAGGGGGTTGTGAGAATAAATAAAAAAATTAATGAAATCATATCGATACTGCATAGAAATATATTTGACATGCCTAGAAAAGGCCTCCACTAAATTCTAAAAGAGTAATAAGTTGATAACAACAAGTTCACAACTTGTTTTTTATGCCCATCTTCTCAAAGCTGTGCAACTGCTGACCGTTAACCACAACAGAGTCAGTGGTTGCCTGACATACATAGTCATGACAAATATGAGCGCCTTTAAAACTTGTGAAAACACTCTGCAGCGGGTTAACAGGAAGTATTCACTACTTGATACAGACTGAACAGATCAGGTACATTAGCGTTATGATGGTTCCCATTAACAGTAAGAGTTCAAATGTATAGCCTAGTTTTGTTTTTCCTTTAGATTTGCAAGGCTTGCAATATGTATCATTTTAAAAAATCTGAAGCTTTTGTGCAGTGATTTAACATGCACTTTTAGACCTCAGGGATATCATTCTGTCGATATAGGAAGCATAAATAATTGTGCAAAAAACCTAGTATAACACAATATGGTGTGCAGGAAATTGGAGAAGTGAAAGGCAAAAGAAAACATGCCAAGTCTAAAACGCTGTTTAAAGCAGCAGAATGCTGTCTGAAAGACATGTACTTAAGAAAAAGTAAAAATCCAGCAAAGACATGACACATGAGATACGCATCTGACGCTTCAGCTGAGTCAGCTATTGTTCACCTGAGGAGTCTTGGGAAATTATCTCAAAAGAGCAACTGTCCAAAAGCTATTCATAAGGAAGAAGGTACTGCAAATGGACTGGCACTCAAAGCACTTTTCTACATAACTAAGCACTCAAATTACTTTCCACTACAAGCTTCGTTTACCCAATCATACACACATGCAGATTTTGATGATGAGATAGCCTTTATTAGTCCCAGAGATGGGAAATTCACATTGTTGCAGCAACAAAGTAATGCAGGAATAAATATATATAAGCAGTATACTTAAGAACTCTTGAGCCACGGGGCAATCGTGGCTCAAGAGTTGGGAGTTCGCCTTGTAATCGGAAGGTTGCCGGTTCGAGCCCCGGCTTGGACAGTCTCGGTCGTTGTGTCCTTGAGCAAGACACTTCACCCGTTGCCTACTGGTGGTGGTCAGAGGGCCCGGTGGCGCCAGTGTCCGGCAGCCTCGCCTCTGTCAGTGCGCCCCAGGGTGGTTGTGGCTACAATGTAGCTGCCATCACGTGTGTGTGAATGGGTGGATGACTGGATATGTAAAGCGCTTTGGGGTCCTTAGGGACTAATGAAGCGCTATATAAATACAGGCCATTTACCATTTAAGAACCATACTATAAAAGGATGGATACACTATACAAGGTAGAAGAAATGTAAGGATAAATATAATTTAGATAAATGTACAATATAGATATAAATATAAGTCAGTATACTTGTAACATTAGAACAGAATCTTTCATAGTGCAGCAGTTGGATGTTAATAGCATATTGAATATTGCAAAAATATGTACGGACCTTAGTGTCTGCACATGTGTTTCGACATGTGTGCATTCACTGCTGTTGTACATTTTAGAGAAGCTGTAAGGAAAGACCTCCGAAATCTCTCACCCGCATTCTGTGGGTGCAGCAATGTGTTACTGAAGGAGCTGCCCAGCGCTGTCTGTGTGTGTCTGCACGTGTGGTCGTCTGCAAGGTCTTTGTTGTAGAGTCTGCCAGCAGATGGAAAGAAAGACCTGCGGAATCGCTCCGTCCCACATCGTGGGTGCCGCAGCCTGCCACTGAAAGAGCTGCTCTTTAAAAAACAAACAAACACATAAACTGCAACCCTACCTATCATCATTTGGCCTCCCCAAAGTTTAACATTGTTGAAGAAGTGTGGGTACAAAAGATGGTAAACATCCAAAGAAGAGTTCTGAATATCGTTCAGGAAGGCTGGAAAAGTATTCCTCATGACTACAAGAAAGCTGCCCAACAGATTGCAGGCTGTGTTGAAGAATAGAAGTAATCATACCAAATATTGGCTTTCAAGCTTGTTAAAACTGGACAAACTCTTCTCGAGTATCTCTTGTGTTTGCCTTATATACACATTTCCCCCCCACTTTATGTTTCCATTTGTTTCATTAAGACAAATGTGAACAAGACTTTCACACAGTATTGTAAAGGAAATCGTTTGTAAGCTGAGCAGGTCACTAATGGCATACAGAAGATATTCAGCTTACTCACAGTATGCTGTATTCTAAACAGGAAAGAGTATTCAGCCACATTTCCTGTGTCTAACTTTCATAATTTACTCTGCAGCAGCTACATCATCAGATAAAGCTGTAACCAGTTTTACATGTGTTTCTTTCTCAGTCATAGTCATCGGTTTGTCCTGCAGAATGCGTACAGACTTGAGTAAGGCATGCATCTGTTAAGCTATCCAACAGCATACAAAAAGAAAATGTTTAATGTCATTTGATGCTAAAGTCAGCATCTTTGGCCCTCTAGTTTATACCTCAATCTGTAGGTTTCCTTTAACCTGGCTGCATAAGAGAACCTCTTTCCTGTTGAGCAGCTAAGGGTCAAGAAAAGCTCACAATAATCATTTATGTCCATCTGATAAATAAACATTTCTAACTAAATGAGACCCAAATTAACAAAAATATGTTTCATCACAGCGCTTTGGTGACATTTTGTGGAGGTAATGCTAAAATATCTATGTAGGAAAATTAACTTTCACCTTTAAATTACATGCTGTAAAATCTAAGTTACACTGTTCTCAGACGCTACTCGTTGCTTATTTTTGGTTCATTAGACAAACTAGTGCTTTCACTTAACTTCTGTGAGGCCCAGCTTCTCCATTAGGCAGGCTGAGTTATTAGGTCAGTTCCTTAATCTTAATTATGCAAATTCTCATGACCATGAGTGACGAAACGTTTCTCCCACAAAACGCTACGTCCAGATGAACAGAATCAACTTTTGGAGATTTACTTTCCTGGATGATTGAGAATGCATCAAGACGCTTCTGCTCAAACATTTATGTACCCGGTTTGAATGAAGAAATAAACATGTACAGTACTCCACCTCTTTAAAGCAAAAGATCTCAGAGATAAAGTGTCATAGCAGTGAGGCAACGCACACAATGAGGAGCTTCATCTGGATACCAGCTTTATTTCCCTGCAGCCAGAGTAAGTACTGAATTAGGAATTGTTTAATATTAGCTGTCCCCTTCTCAGCTAAAAATAAATCAAATCTGAACCGTTTCTTTTAGACTGGATTTCTGTTTCAACCTCTGAGTCTGAGACTGGAGGAGCCTTGTCATGCCACTGATATTTAAGGGCTCTTAAATGTGTTTGCCTTGAGGAGAATTTGTGTAAAATGTAAACATTTTAAATTCATAAAGTTTTGTCTCCTTTATTGATCATGTAGAGCAGTGTTCCAGTTTATTAACTAAGATGGCATGTTTGATGATGGCTACTTTGGCTGCTGTATTTCTAGTGATCACCATCGGTAGGTAGTAAACGAATCGCTGCACTGATCCTACTTTTGTCTCTACATGATGTTACGTAGTTCATGAACAACAACACATTCACCAAGAGCAGAATCCTTGCATTTTTTGAGGATCTTGTGTTCAGTAGGAGTATCTGAGATGTGTTTTCTTGAAACACTGTTTCTGTGGCTTTCAAACCATAAAACACACTACTCCAAAACTTGGTCCACTCCAAAGACCAGTCTAAGGAACTTGGAAAGAAAAGTGTCTGGACATCTTTAGGTTTCTTGAAGATGTCACCTCTCATCTGAGAAACTTTTCAGTTCTAAGAGCAATTGGTGGAGAGTGCAGAACCTTCACAGACATATTGCCTTCCAAGGACCAGGTTCCCCAGTACAAACAGTAGTACAGTACACAAGGTGCAAGGACCATTGCCATAAACGTGTAGATTGGGGAAACCAAACAACCCCTGGCTAAGCAGATGACACGACAAATAAGAGCTGCCTCCTCAGGCCAGGACTCTGCAGTCTATTTACACCAACAGAGGACTAGCCACTATTTCAGTGATCAGGTTGTGCACTGCATTGATAGGGAGGGACGGTCCATCCTGTGAGCATTGCAGAGGAACATTAAGTACTCAGTGATGGACAGGAAGGTGTTGCATTCACCAGGATCAGTTAGACAACAAGACTTGGGGAGGAAAAAAAAAAAGACCAAATGACAGAAATCAGTGAGCTACAACTCTTAATACACAGCACATTGTTGCGTTTCTGAAAAGTGTTTCAAGTTCTGCATGTTGGGACCCATTCTTCAGACAGACAGAGATCCCGTAACAAGCAATTCATCATTTGCTGAAAGTCTACAAGGAAGTTTGCCGCTTAAATTATGTTTATCTGTCTCTCTAACCAAGTCTAACTTACCCTTAAATTAAGATTTCCCAATTAAGGTGAATAATAATGGACTTGATCTTTCACCTCACGTATTTGTTTAGTGATTTTTTTCCTCACTACACTGATCAAATGCTTTTCTACATTGTTGTGATTTGGCTCTATATAAATAATACTGAATCGAATCGTCCCTCCACTGGGCTCGTCACATCCCAGCCCAGCTCACACTCTGCACTAGAGTCTGTCGCTCTATGCCACTGCGGCTCCCCTCGTGGCATCACCCTGCAAGTAAAGAAATATTGGCCAGAACCATCGTCCCGAAAGCTGGCATGGCTAATAGCCGTGGCGACCCTCTCCCAGCACAGCTGCACCTGGTGAACAACAGTGGAGACACTACTCACAGATGTACTTCTGCCGTGCTGTCAATCACACGCATTGTCTCCTACTGTCGGGACTGGGTTGCCACGTTACACTGACTGGTCAGTCTCCAAATGAGCCGCCACACTTCACAATCAGGCAGGAGGCCTCTTTCTTTCTTTCTTTCTTTCTTTCTTTCTTTCAGTTATATTGGCGGTTGGCAAAGCAGGAGGCCCCTGTTTTTCACACTGGCATTAGTACTCAGCCAGCTCCCTTTTAATAGGTCCATTAACAGCTGATAGGTCACCTCAGGACACATGGCCTCAGCAGGCGATCGCTATCAGCCAATTTGTCCCAGTGCGCATTGTCAGGACCAGAGGAGTTTCCCGCCCTCAGGGTCGCACACCTGGTGGCAATAACACACTTGCTCTGATGATTTCATTTGGGCAGCTTAATAAGGAAGCAGCGGTGGATCAGGCTTTGTTCGACTGTAGCCCTGAAAGCAGTTCAATAAGAACAGATCATTAGAATGAAAGCAACATGATTTATTGATGTACAGAATTTTGAATTTTGGCAGTTAGAGTCCAACAGCCCGTCTCGACACAACAGAACCCCAGCGGTGATAAGCATTAGAGTCGGACCTCTCAGAGTCTAGACGCTGGTGGTGGTAGAGATGAAGATGGAGGCTGAGCGATGTAAAGACTTCAAACAACAGTACAGATAACAAAGGAGAGTGACAGATAGACAAAGACTGGCTTGACAGTCTATTCCTGTAATGCATTTTATAAAGTTAATTTTTGAGAACACAGCTTCACAGGTGTATGTTGAGCCAAACATGGTGAGCACATACATGGCCAACGTGTATCATACTCTTGGGGACAAGCCACCCAAACGGTGCTCAAGCTTTCAGATAGCCGATAGCCGATAGTGGAGTCCAGGTCTCTTGGTCATTCTGAACCAGAACATCTCTGGAGAGCAGCCTTCATGTCACTAGTGGCCTGGATGTCAATCAGTTCATATCAAACAGCTGCCTCGTCAAGGCCAGTATATGGCTTGTTGTGCTTGGAGAAAACCCAGGCAGCCTGCTGAGACGTGGTTATTTTCCCTCTCGTGTTCAGTTGAAGTTCAGTTAAGTTTCAAAGCATCATTTTTTTTTCTCTGATGGGTCTCTGACTGTTCAGGATATGACTCTTTGAGGTTTGAATACTTTGTGGTGTTGTGGTAGCTCAATTTATATTCTTCAGCGACAGTTTCACTGCAAATGAGGTTTACAGGTACAGCGTTTCTAAAGGTTGCCCTATGAATACATATCGGTTCAGTCTTCATTATAGCAGCGGTTTTCTGCATCAACTTTCCGCTTGAGGTTGTGTTGTTGAGGTAAAGGTTAAGAGGTTAAGGTTAAGTTTTCTTTGCAAACCATGACATTGCATGTGACAGTGATGGACAACATGAGGGCCTCACAAGTATGAAGCTTAACATATCACAGTCGCCCTCTTGTGGCTTGTTGCAGTACCGATAATGAGTCCATCAACACTGACCAGGTGAAGAAATAACATCAACTTGGGAGGAAAAATATAATGAAATAATCACATATTACCAATGATACTGTATTATTTTATTGTACAACAGCATCTGCCCCTCAATGTCTGCCAAGAAAAATTCAGGCCCTTGGACAAATGTGGTTGCCGACCCCTGCCATAAGCTCATTCAAAAGTCATTAAGCTGTTTTCCTGTAGACTTCTACAGGACCAAAGTCTTTCTTTGCAACAGCATCTATTGCCATCTGGTGGCTTTCTGAGAGAATACAGGCAATGGACTTACACATTGCCTTCCTTTCCCTAACCCAGACGCTGACATCCATATTTTATACTGTCTCTGGCCCAAACCGATTCAGTTGGCACTCACAATTTAAGTCAAAATTAAGTGCAATTAACTGTTTTTTGCTTTTAATGGAAAGCTTGATGAATTATTAAACATGGTGTGTACAACATACTTTCAAGGTTGAAGATTTATTTTTAATTTGGTTAATTTGTTTATATGTGGACAATCATGTAATTCATCTAATTTTCTCAAAGCAAACGGTAACATTTATACAAACAACTTGAAGAAAGCAGCACTGGAGACTAATTAGCAAATCATCAGTGTTAAACTGTGTGTAGGCGTGTTCATATGTGTGTGCTTATAGTAGAAACCACACCTTTTCAGACCTTTGTGTAGAGCTCCATTTCAGGGGCATCGTATGCACAATGTGGAGCTGTCCCTCTCTCACAGTTTTATTTCTCCTCAGCCTCAGTGAGTGGAATTCATTTACACAGAATTGATTGTATTTTCTATACGATTCAGTTAATTCATTTGCCAAAACATTATCTTGCATGTCCAGTTTTTTGGAGTTTTTTTTATTTATTTCTGTTTTGTTATTTTCAGGTTGGATCTCCGTCTCTGTTTCTGATTCTCAGACTTTGGAGGTTCAGTCTGGAGAAGAAGTCACGCTGCTGTGCTCCAACTATTCCAGTTCTCCCACACAGATATTCTGGTTCAGAGTGACCAAGAGATCTGAACTCCACTGTATCTGCTCTATGTCCCAGCCTCATGAACCTGCTTCATTCTGCACAGGAATTCAAAGTGGAAAATTTGAAATGAGCACCAACATATCCACGGTGTTTCTTAAAATCAAACAAGTGGATTTATTGGACTCGGGGCTGTATTTCTGTGGAACATACTTAAGCAATTATGCAGTTATTGTTCATGCAACAAATGTAGAGGTCCAAGGTAGGAATTTTATATTGATTTCATTTTGATGAATGCATGAAAACATGGATCTAAGTTTTAGATTCGGAATGTTGAAGTTGGAAAATCTTCCTAGCATTAAAACTTAACAACACTAAACTTAGCATTTATTTTATAACTGTAGCACACTGTGTCACTGTTATTTAATTCAGTTATGTTTCTCATAGACGTGTTTGATAGATTACCAAAGATGATGAGTGTGGTCCTGGGTGCTCTGACAGTTTTTCTCATTATGGCCGTCATCTATCTGGCTGCTAAAATCAAACATCTCCAGAAAGGTATTTTTGTTTCCACAGACTTTCACATATACTGTTGCTATATAAGAGAAACATTTTTCTTCTTGTTTAAAAAAAATCCTTCAATAGCATTAGTTAGAAACATTGCAACTAAAATGACTATACAATTTATTTCTGTGCTTTGCAGTACCTCACACTGGAGAACAGAATCTACAGGAAGAGGTGATGCGTTTCATTTTGTGTCCTTCCTAGATTACGATGTTTCTTTTTCTTACTATGTGCTATTATTTTAATTGCATGTTTTTTCTTTATAATTCTAGTAATGGCATCTCACTGGCAGAACATGTCTTTGTTTCATATAGTCCCGTAAACTTGATTGATTGCTTTTTGCCACTGTTGGTCACTGCCGTTAGCATGAGACAAGGCCTGGGTATTCTCCTGATAAGATAACACACGATGTCACAGGAGATCTCCTCCCAGATTCAGATAGAGGTGATGAGTGATCTCCTGAACAGTGTGTGTATTGGCAGCATTGGATATGTGATATGTAACATCCCAGATTCTTTCAATTTTAGGTCTAAAGAAATTAAGACCCAGTTAATGTCTCTGAACTGCCCACCCAGCTGGTCACATATGACCAGGCACTGTCCTCGGTCAAAAGGAATTCAGAGTCAGCTGCCCCACATGAGGTCTGAAAAAAGCTCTACGGCCTGAGGAACCACTCAGTACCACCCAGTCAGGGTACCAGTGGGTAGCAGGTCGGGGTCTGTATGTCCCTTCATGGATGTGTCTCCCCAAATCATCACCGCCCCACTGCCAAACTGGTGCAGGTGACATTTACTACAATTCTGTAACGGAAACTCTTTTTAAACTGCACAAATTACTGAGAGCCAAATATTCAGGCACACATACACAATTTGCAGTAGTTTACCCACAGTGTGTGGTTTGGTCTATGCTGTATTCTAAACAACAGGAAGAAGAGCGTTCACCAGCATGCTAGCATTTCCTGCATCTTTCACAATTTAGCCACAAAGGACAGTAGATAAAGTAATAACTGACTGTGCTCATGCTGTTTTCTCAAGCATGGTGGTCCATTAGTTCTGGAGAATGTGTTAAAGATCAGACATGCAACACTTTCATGTCCTGCAGGTTTTTAATATTGTTTACTGAATGGATTTTACTCCAATATAACCAACAGTACACAAAAAGAAAAGGTTCTAAAGTCACAGTCATCTTCCTTACTGTTCTGTGCCCATGGCAGATAACTTGTCTCTACAGATATTCTAGACTTACAACCCCTCTTTGTCATAAAGCATGCAGACTGCAGTCATTTTATCTGTACTGTTGTTTGAAGCCTTTACAGAATTAAATAACACTCACAAAGTGTGTGTGACTCAATTTATTTCAAATTTCAGCGAATGGCTGCATGACATTGTCTCCATATAGGAAAATAGACCTTACCCTATAAAATACATTCAGAAATCAAGTTGCATTACAATTAAACACTGTTACCTTTTTGCATTCTTTTTTAAACCAGTGTTATCAGTTGACTTAATCATTGTACTGTGGTGACCAGGTTCTATGTCCACCTAGAACACCAGGGTAGGTAAAGCTTGTTAATTCACTGGTTAAGACTGAACTGAAGTGTCCAGTTTGAGTAAACAAATTAACATGTGCAGCACTCTGCTTCATTCTAATCACAGCCCATGTACAGGATCTCAAAGATAGTCCCAGACTTACTTCTCAGTAAGTACTGAAACTGAATTACTGTACTGCAACTGTTGGATTATTTACCGGAATGATAACTGCTCTTTTTCCCAGCTAAAATAATAAAAATAGTAATTAAACTGTTTGTTTCAGACTGTTTTGACCTCTCAGTCTCAGACTGTGGAGGTCCAGCCTGATGAAGAGGTCACCCTGAGGTGCTCCAACATCTCCAGAGTTATAACTTACACATTGTGGTCCAGAATAGATGTTAACAGAAACAAGATCAGAGCACCACCTCTATGCACTGGTCTAGTGGTGATGGATTTCAAAACGGAAAATTTGACATGAGCGCCAACATCTCCTTTCTTAAGAGCTTTCTTAAGTTTTGTCCACTTTATTGATCGAGCAGAGCAATGTTCTAGTTTAATAATTGAGCTGGCATGTTTAATAATAACTGCTTTGACTGCTGTTCTTGTAGTGATGATCGTGGATCTCCTGGTGAAAATCTTCATCCTTCAAACAGATCAGGTCAACCAGACGAGTGACCGAACAATTGCAAATGTCTTTTTTCGCCAGAAAGTAAATGAACCACTGCCCTGACCCTACTGTGTTTTACTTGTCATCAAACAGCTCGTCATCGGATCCCTTCTCTGCATTCGTGACACTCAGTTTCACCAAGCCTCGGTTTTTCCCATGACTGAGTTTTGACGGCTTTGTTTGGCAGACTTACAGAGGGCAAAGTTTTGGATGATGGTGCATTCTGTGATTGTGCCATACTCGCTAAAGAGTGTCCTGAATTCTTCCTCATCTGCCTTTTGGGGCACATTTCCCACAAAAATATCTTCACCATTGTTAAATATCTGAATAAAAAACGTTTATAGACAAAAAGGAGAGAAAAAATATGACACTTGGAAACAGGATTAACTTAAGTATTGATGAAAATAAATGAAAGCAACAGTCGTCCTGATGTCTTAGAACAGCAGCAGGATCGCATATTACTTTTTTATATTTGTCTTGTAAATTACTGCACTCTTGTGGCCACAAGCAGGTACTGCATCTGAAAGCTTTTTTGGGGGAGGTAGTTGTGATCAGATGACAAAGATGGAGCTTGTGAAACAGAGGGGAGAGCAGCATTTTTGGACAGCTCTGGCTTTGATGGGTGACTAGTTATAGCTGTGAACCCAAATCTACAGCGTGGTAAATAGACTTTGAAAGCGTACAAGCTTCTAACAACAGTCTGCTAGCAAGCAAAGCTAACACTCAACAGCGCTGCAGAGGTGAAAAGCGGCGGAAAAACACTGAGGTTAGGAACTATCCCGCCTTTAAAATGCGACCAATTGTAAATATCGTGAGAAGACGATACATGCTTTGTTACTTTTAGCCGCCACAGCGATTTAAAACCCGTGGAGACGTTTCCTTTTACCGACTTCCGGTGCTTTTTTTGCCTGCCTGCCACGATACAAGCTAGATTCTATGACAAACACAGCGCCACCCTGTGTATAGGAGGGCGCATTGATCTACTGAAGGACTGGTTAATTTAAAGAAAAGTAAACCAGTACTTTAGACCTTTCAAGCCAATGATAACTAATAACTCTATGGTACATATAATCTACTTTCTATTCAATATGCCCAGTACAGTTAAAAATTATAATACTGCACTATTTTCTGTCTGAACAGCCTTAAACAAACTTCCTGTATCATACCGTGGCCCTTAAGTAAGTGACTTCATAAGCTGTGGTATGAAATGGTTTGTACATGTTTGGTCATATCCACCTCTCCGACATTTATTAACATTAGCTTTTCTCTGCTTGACTCATATCGTGGCAGAGGATTAGTTAATGTGTAACAGTTGAATATTGCAGAGTTCCTTCTTCCCGCTCTAGTTTTAGATACTGTGAAACAGATGCTGTGCCTTCATGTCAACTTTAAGGTTCATCCATGGACTCCAGGTGGAGATTTCACCAGTGTAGTGTGACATTCATACGCTCATCCACAGAGTGTGTGTTAGACTACTCACCAAGCTATGAGAATATACAGGGAGTGCAGAATTATTAGGCAAGTTGTATTTTTGAGGAATAATTTTATTATTGAACAACAATCATGTTCTCAATGAACCCAAAAAACTCATTAATATCAAAGCTGAATGTTTTTGGAAGTAGTTTTTAGTTTTAGCTATTTTAGGGGGATATCTGTGTGTGCAGGTGACTATTACTGTGCATAATTATTAGGCAACTTAACAAAAAACAAATATATACCCATTTCAATTATTTATTTTTACCAGTGACACCAATATAACATCGCCACATTCACAAATATACATTTCTGACATTCAAAAACAAAACAAAAACAAATCAGCGACCAATAGAGCCACCTTTCTTTGCAAGGACACTCAAAAGCCTGCCATCCATGGATTCTGTCAGTGTTTTGATCTGTTCACTATCAACATTGCGTGCAGCAGCAACCACAGCCTCCGAGACACTGTTCAGAGAGGTGTACTGTTTTCCCTCCTTGTAAATCTCACATTTGATGATGGACCACAGGTTCTCAATGGGGTTCAGATCAGGTGAACAAGGAGGCCATGTCATTAGTTTTTCTTCTTTTATACCCTTTCTTGCCAGCAACGCTGTGGAGTACTTGGACGCGTGTGATGGAGCATTGTCCTGCATGAAAATCATGTTTTTCTTGAAGGATGCAGACTTCTTCCTGTACCACTGCTTGAAGAAGGTGTCTTCCAGAAACTGGCAGTAGGACTGGGAGTTGAGCTGGACTCCATCCTCAACCCGAAAAGGCCCCACAAGCTCATCTTTGATGATACCAGCCCAAACCAGTACTCCACCTCCACCTTGCTGGCGTCTGAGTCGAACTGGAGCTCTCTGCCCTTTACCAATCCAGCCACGGGCCCATCCATCTGGCCCATCAAGACTCACTCTCATTTCATCAGTCCATAAAACCTTAGAAAAACCAGTCTTGAGATATTTCTTGGCCCAGCCTTGACGTTTCAGCTTGTGTGTCTTGTTCAGTGGTGGTCGTCTTTCAGCCTTTCTTACCTTGGCCATGTCTCTGAGTATTGCACACCTTGTGCTTTTGGGCACTCCAGTGATGTTGCAGCTCTGAAATATGGCCAAACTGGTGGCAAGTGGCATCTTGGCAGCTGCACGCTTGACTTTTCTCAGTTCATGGGCAGTTATTTTGCGCCTTGGTTTTTCCACACGCTTCTTGCGACCCTGTTGACTATTTTGAATGAAACGTTTGATTGTTCGATGATCACGCTTCAGAAGCTTTGCAATTTTGAGACTGCTGCATCCCTCTGCAAGACATCTCACTATTTTTGACTTTTCTGAGCCTGTCAAGTCCTTCTTTTGACCCATTTTGCCAAAGGAAAGGACGTTGCCTAATAATTATGCACACCTGATATAGGGTGTTGATGTCATTAGACCACACCCCTTCTCATTACAGAGATGCACATCACCTAATATGCTTAATTGGTAGTAGGCTTTCAAGCCTATACAGCTTGGAGTAAGACAACATGCATGAAGAGGATGATGTGGACAAAATACTCATTTGCCTAATAATTCTGTATTACTCCCTGTATATGGCTTGAAATGAAGCAAAATGCATCCTAATGTTACTGGAGAACAGTTCACTTCACCTTTCATTTTGCTCTTGCACATATTTCTGTAAGCTTCACAAAGCCTGTTTCAGCTTCAACTTGGCTAAAATGCTCTCTTTAGACCGTCTGCCTTCAGCATCAACTTTGTGTGTCAGCTGGCTAGTTTCCAGTTTCAGTGTGTGTGTGCCGGTATGCTTGGTGTTTGGTGAAACATATCAAGGAAGGTCAAAACAGAAAAAATACTTTGGGGAATGTAGGCTACTGTTGTTGCATCATTACTAGCCAGTATGGCAGGTTCAGACAAAAACAACATTTTTGTTGCCATAGTGAGAAAATATAATTTGAATTAGGTAAGCCAGCCATAGAGACACATGGGTCATCTGTTACCTCTGGGTCAGGTCCATTGTCGTAGAGCGAAGTCTAAAGGTTCATGTTCCTACATTACTGAATTTACAAAGGGGGAACTCCGCTGAAGCTGTATCAGATTGTTATCTTATCTCGTGCTACATGAGATGAGCTGGAGATGCTCCAGCACGCCTATGACTAAATGACATTTCCCAGAAAAAGCAGATAAAATTATGTTTCTCATTCTTTGGCTAAACTTGATATTTTACTTTCAGTTTTACTATGAATGATTCTCCTTTGGGTTCTGCTGGGAAAATCAGTGTTACACACACACACACACACTATATACATATATAGAAACTAAAAGTTAAAGTCACTTTTAAAGATATATATGTACTATGCTGCTCTATACAGCATTATCTGTTTTTAAAAATACCTTAACTTCATTAAGATGAGGAGTTAAATTAATAAGAATCAAACCTAAATACACAATATGATTAAGACCAAGTTGGAGGGCTCTTTCTCCCCATCACTGCGTTTACAACAGGGAAACATCCTCTGATGAGTTTGAAGTTTCTGGTTACTCAGTCACTATTGAATGCAGCTTCCACACTCTGGTGATAGAAGAGTATTTATTGTATCATTGCAACTTTCTGCAGATATTGTTTTACCGCTGTTTGGAATTTATTAGTCAAGATGGGGAAGTATCAGGACGCTGTTACTGCTCTGAACACTTACTATACATAACATCACACAACATAAGTTTGCCTTCAGGAACTTTGCCAGAAATGCTCACTAAAATATTAACATTGTTGCTGAAAGGGTTAATGGTAACCTAAAGCCTTGTCCTGACAGCAAACATCACCCACTAAGGTTTGCTGGCATAGTGAAACAACTTTTTAAACGGATCAATTTACACCCAATCCTGCCACATGAAGTTAGTTGTGCACTTATGTATTTATATCAAAAGTAGGAATTAATGTACACAAACTGTCCTAAAGTGTAATTTTTTTATAACAAAATTGAAATCCTTATTTTTAACTGATTTTGGTTATGGGACAGGAAAAAAAAGTGTTTCCCCATTCCATGGCAATAAGCCTGAATTTAGTTTTGTAGTATAAAATCTATGTTAGATTTACTTCCCCGTATAAAATTGAGCAAAGAGCTCTTCCCATGAGGTATCATAGCTCTGCTACTGTCCAGTTAAAAACCAGGATGTTAAGAAATTGCTTCTTGTGCACGTGTTTGAAGACAAATTTGTACAGGGCCAATGTGCAGTAGAAAACAGAACTAAAACAATGCAGTGAAAACAGTGACTCAAATGGCAACCAGCCAAGTAACTAGACACACAGCATGTAAGTTAACAGAGTCCATGTTGTTGTTTTTAAATATTTTATTGATATTTGCAAAAATCCAAAAACTAACAATACATTAAAGAAATTATTACTGTGAAATTCCCACACACTTAACCAACTTCATGTTTACAAGGGTTTAAAATCTATATTTATCATATATAGAAATATCACATCTTCAAGTCCAAATGTAGTGTTCTGTGGTAAATCCTTCACGTTCATTCAATCAAAAAGAAAAAACTGTAAAAATAAATTATTCAAATTTCCAATTTTAAAAAGACCTCGACTTTCCCTAAAAGCTGCCATCATTTTTTTAAAACTCAGATGCATTTGAAACCCTACAGCTGGCATCCAATCTGTCAGCAGCAAAGCGTACCGCTCACAGTCTGTACAGTGTACATAAAGAACAGCCGGACAGTTTTGCTAACACCTCTGAACCTCAGATTTCCCTAAAATAGATGGAGAGAACCCAAATAAATAAGTGATCCAGTATTAGCCATCTATGAGCGATGGAATGACACAAACCAAAGCACCACTGTTCTTATTTAACCCCACTATCCCCTGCCCCAGCTGCCCTCTCACTTGTCCCTATCATCATTAGCAAACTGCAGACAGGCAGACGACAGTCGAGTTCTTCTCCATGCTGTGATTCAACATTAGAGAATGTGACAGATGTCTGATTACTTAAAAATGACCCGTTCTTTCAACTGCCGGCCCATGGCCCAAATCCACACTAGCACTGTTTACTCATTGGAGTGGAGGGTGAGATATACTGAGTGCTGATCCATACTACCTAAGTGGAAGTGGGTTACGAATCCCTAAACCACAGGTGTCGAACTCCAGACCTCGAGGGCCACGATCCTGCTTCTTTTCAAACTAACCAGCCCTTGTAGCTTCGTATTGGCAAAGCACACCTGATCCAGGTAATCAACAGCAGGTAGTGCAGGGATATCTCACAAACAAGCAGGATACTGGCCCTCGAGGCCTGGAGTTTGAGACCCCTGCCCTAAACGGTCTACACCATGGGTGTCGAACTCCAGGCCTCGAGGACCAGTGTCCTGCAGATTTTAGATAACATCTTGGGTCAACATACCTGACATTTTGAAGAGGTAATTTAGCCATTTAAATCTGCCGCCCTCAAGGCCTGGAGTTCAACGCCTGTGGTCTACACTGAAGCAGGCGTACTAACCAACAATTACACTCACAAGCCATGTTTTCACAAAGTGGTGAAACTATTACACACACCGGATAGCTATAGAAACCACAGATGACAGTGGAAGTTCATTTAACCTTCAGAGAAGCACAAGGGCCTTAACAGACTCCACAAAACCAAACTGAGTTAACGTTTGTTCTCAACTTTCCTTCACCTGTTCAATCTAGCTTAAGACATTTGTGTAAGATTTTCCAGCATGATGATGTTTTTCCCCAAAAGATGCGTAAGAGTGGATCATTCCATCACTAAATAACTGACCACACCTGATGGTTTTCTCTTATTCATGTTCCCTGTATCTACCTTTGGTACTTTCAGGACTTTTTTTGGCATAAAGAGCCTAAAGAAATCCCCAACTTTTTTCTGGCTACTACAAAAAACTATTGAATGAAAGTAATAATTCACCTAAAAGAATCATACAAATGTGGAATGTGTTTCAGCACTACATCAGCATTCTTTCCAATCCAGTAACCTGTCACTTACCTTTTCACTGCGAAGGTGTCCAGAAGTTGTTGAGGTAATACCCCCCTCCCCCTCCCCAATATGACTCAAGGTAAACCAGTCACACCTATCAAAACCAGTGTGGGTTCAGTAGGTTTAGAGAGCGCTAGCTTTTCTTTACTTGCCTTCAACTTTGGCACTGAGGAAAGACGTCAGACGCCCTGCTGAGGAATAAAAGCTGCAGCATTTCAGACAAGACCAGTGAGGAAAGTTTGGGCGTGTTTTTTTAATCAGCGTGACGATTTTAACAAGCTTGTCTCACGGTATTTCATCGCTAACAAACGGATAACTTTTAAAATAATGATATTTCCGGTGACCCTACAACAATATTTGAATCAGGTTAATTAGAAGTGTTTGACAATGCACATATAAACGCTCTGAGGAGGCTTCCGATTGACATTTATTTTCTGTAAGTTAACAGTTACTTCCTGCATGCATCGAACTCCTACATTTGAGCAGTTTAAGTTTTTCACAGCGGTTTGTTGTGCGGTGTAAAAGTTTTACATGATGGAGTCAACGTGCAGATTAGATTTTATACCAAACAAAGTTAAGTTCAGTTAAATCTACAGTCACAAGTATCGCCTAGAAACTGTTGCTGAACTCATTCAGCTTCTCTAAGGTCACAAACAACATCAGTATTACTCAAACGAAAAAGTACAAAAAAAAATAAAATAAAAAATAAACACCTACTCCAGACGGCAAGCAGTAAAAGTACTACAGCACAATTACATATTAAAACAACCAGGAGGAAAAATACGAGTGTAAAAATTGCCTCAAAGTAATAAAAACAGAAAGAGACGTGGACGTCGGCTATTCGGTTCCTCCTGTCAGCATCGCAGGGGAACGTTACGCGCTCAGCCACTGACAGGGAGAGGATAGAGTCACGTGCATCAGGAGGCGCCGAGCGGCGACGCAGTCGGACGACAATCCTGAAAAAAAGAGCAAATGACAGAAATGAACGATCTGCAACTCTTGAATACAGGACGTTGTTCCAGGTTAATTTCTAATTCGACTTGTTTTTTCCCGAAATTCAGAGATTCCATCCTCTTTGTCGTATTATAACACACTTAGTACTATTTTATTATCTGAAAAGCCATGTTAAATGGATCGACGTGCATTACCAACGAATTTACTTGTGGAACAGCACCTTGTACGCATGCTTTTCAAATCCCCGGCTGCCTCTGCCGTTACAGGAACGCTGTTTTAGGAAAGAGCAACACCAGTCTACCTCAGACCTATCCTCACCTTCAAAATGCGCCGCCCTTGCTTAATAAGCGTAGCGTGCAGGCGGTGGCGGAGGCAGCCGATCTGCGTAGGGGTCCCTTGCACGTGGAACTCCGTATGCGGAGCGATCATAGGAGTAGCCGTTACTGGCAGGGGGCACTGGTGTGGTAGGCGGTCTCCTAAGCGGACTTCGATCTCGGGCGTAGTATGAGGACGGAGGAGGTGGAGGAAGGGGCCGACGCTCATATGGGTCGAGCGACGAGTTCGGAAGACGGTCTCGGACGACGGCTGACGGGGGAGGGGGAGGAGGAGGCACGCCGGGACGCTGGTCGTCGTAGGTGGCCATGCCATACGGACGGGCTCGATACTTCTCATAGTAATCTACCACGCCATATCTGTCCCTCTCAGCATCGTAAGGGCGATCTGGATAAACTGCTCGTCTAGGGGGAGGGGGAGGCAGAGGAGGGGCAGGGTAACCTGGGGGTATGTGGCTAAGACGACCCCTCATGTAGCCAGGTGGAGGAGGCTCGGGCCACTCTCCTGGATAGCGTGGGGGCCAATAGCCACCCCTGTCTGGGGGAGGAGGGGGGTAATCATCCCGTTCTTCATGTCTGGGACGACTCTTGGAAATCTGGACATGGATGCGTTTGCCTACATTAAAAAATAAAAAGTAAAAACACAGGTTATGTGGGCTGGTTTATAATAAGGCAACACTAAGGTTTCTTCTTGACCTCCTTATAAATGTTGATAATCTCTCTTACCTTGAAATTCTGTGTTGTCCAGTCCCTTGATGGCATCCATGGCCTCGTCAGAGTTGGACATGTGTACAAAAGCAAAATTCTTAACAACAGCACACTCCGTGACCGTGCCGTACTCCTCGAACAAAGCACGCAGCTCATCATCAGATCCTTTCTCTACATTTGCTACATGCAGTTTGACTGAGCCCTGGTTCTTTCCGTGACTGGCCTCCACGTTGATTGGCGTGCCGTGCAGCTTGTAGAGGTGCAGATTCTTGATGGCTTTGGTGGCAGCCTTGCGGTCGTCCATGTGGACGAAGGCAAAGTTTTTGATGATGGCACATTCTGTCACAGTGCCATACTCGGTAAAGAGTGCCTTGATCTCATCCTCGTTTGTCGCTCTGGGTAGATTTCCCACGAAAATCTTCACCATGATTACAAATCTGTTTCGAGGTAATGCAGAGTGTTAAGAGAGAAAAAAAAATTTTTTTAGTACATACTATTGAAGAGTACGTTTGACCCTTTCTCAGAGTCTATAAAAACAGCAGCGTTGTTAACAGGCCCGCGCATAGTAAAAACCTAGAAGTCGTTCACGGCGGCACAAGTACCAACAATTTAATCATTTAAAATCATTATTATCAATAAATCGTTTCTTTCATATCTGTATATGTCTACAAAAAGAACAAACGAGCAGCGTTTAAACGCCGCTCGTGTAGCCTGTTAGCCCCGGTTAGCCACGCTAACAGACAAAGCAGCGCAGTCGATATTCTCGCGCAACGAAGCTAGCGGGCGAACAAAGGTACCGAGGTTAACAGGGTACTCCACACATACCTATGCGCCACACAACTACATTTGTATAAAGACATACATTTTCTATTTTCATTACCTTTTAGTCGGCGCTCACAAAAAGGAATTGAAGTCCCCTTCGAGAGGTTTCCTTTTGCTAATTTCCGGTTGTGTCTTGCCTGTGGCATACAAAAAGCCAGCTGCACCGCCCCCTCCGCCCGGGCGTGCGCAGTAATCTAAAGTCTTCGGGTAAAACAACAATTTTACAACTTTACAACTTTTATCCGCATTAGATGTTACATATTATACACCCAGTAGTCTATAATATATATATTTTTCTACTTTACATGTCTAATAAAAATAATAACAATATAAAAAAAACTAGCTATAGCACCGTGCTTTGTTATAAAGACCCTACATTATCTTACGGTACACTTTTGTCCATGTTTTGTAAGTCACCCCGTTTCGTATTTATTAACCAGTAACATTTCACAACTACATTTATATGGTGAAGAAAAGAGAGTTAAGTACGTTTTAAACGTACTTGGTTAATGTGTAACGGTCTATTTTACGAGGTTGCTTCTTCCCGTTATAGTTGTAAATACCGCAGGGTGGGAAGCAGTGTCTTTAGTTGAGTCTGTTTACAGTAACTGGTTGTGACACTTCTGATGACATTATTATTATTTTTCACTAACCCCAGCCACCCCAGTAATGAAGAGCGACTTTTCATTCTGAAATAAGTAGCTAAATTTTGACATACATAAAATTACATTCCTTAACAGATTACCCTGTTATACTGCGTTTAAAGAAACACATCTCATTTTGTATTTTAAAACATTGTTGCTTCTGAAAAACCCCTATAAGTAATTTGTTAAGACTGCCGAGATATGCAAAACATAAAAATTATCACTAGTTAATCAATCCTCTTGTAAAAATTCTTTTTTTTTTTTTGGTTCATTTACTTTTTTTATTTTATTTTATTTTTACAAAACATCATTAATGTCCTCTGTTTCACATCTAATTGTTTCTTCTGTATGTTTGCATGTCTGTATTTTATTTCTCTGCTTTGTTTACATAAAAAGTATTGTAAATAATCATAATACACGGCTCCAAATGAAGTTTTAAAAGCGTTTCTGTCTACTCCGGGTTGCGTCATCATGGAATTTTCAGTGTTGTAATGCTACATTCAGGTGCTCGCGTTAAAAATCGCACAGTACAGCAAACCAGCGGAAAATAATTTAAATTGTAACAAAGACTCCGGTGAATTATGTTGAATTAGTATTTTTCTTATTAGCATTTTGTTTCATTTTCTTTAATTTCACTTGGCAAACTTTTTGCATTGACTTAGCAATACATAAATATTTCAGATCTGGGTAACACCATTACTGTCCAGTCTCCTGATTTAACAGTAGACATACTTTTACTTTAATAACTGCACTGTGTATTGTAGTGTCTAATTCTTGGATGCTATGTTTTTCAGCTTTTGAATGAAAATTTGTATTTTTTTTTATTTTTTATGTTGCATTCACAAAATTTAATTCAACCTGAGAGTGACATTTCCGGATTTGCACTTGAAAGCAACACTGTTGGACCAACAGGAAAACTTGCTGAATAAAAGGCAACAGCTCGCAAAGCGCAGCAATCAGTCTTCCTGTTTTCGCAGCAGTAGCACCGTTATTCTTCTAACTCAGTTTCTTTCTTTCTTTCTTTCTCGTGAATGGAATAAAAACCTCGTTCTTTAATTAAGAAAGTTTCACATTCAGGTAAGGCATCTAAAAAAACAATGTTTGTTGATGCAGTACGATTTAACCCTGCTTTACAAGATGGTCTATTTTCACTGTATGACTAATTTTGTTGTTTGGTTTTTATTTTTTGTCCTTTCTTTAACTACCAGCTGTCTTCTTTTTTTCATCTGGAGTTATTCTTTCACAATGAATGTGTCTCTGACGATGGAGACGGAGGAGGACCTCCTGACTTGTCTCCAAATCAAGCTTTACCATCCTCAGCAAAGCTGTAAGGACTTTTATGATCGGCTTCCTCTGGGGACCAGAAGAAGACATACTGCCGATGACCCTCTCAGGCTGGGCCGTGACGACCAGGCTTGTGCCTACATCCTGGTTGATCCCCGGGTGTCTCGTAAGCAGCTGGCGCTCTACGCCTACCACATTCCCCAGAGCTCAGAGATGCTGTTTATCATCCAGAATCTGAGCCAGAGGGGGAAACTGTCAGTGAACACCTCAGCGCTGGGATACCTGGAGAGAATGGATCTGCCAGACAAAGCTCTGATCCGGTTCGGAGAGTATGAGATCCTGATCATCCGTGAGTCTGGTGAGGCCAAGGCCAACTTTGAGGTAGAGTTTGAGGTGCTGGCAGTACCTCCTTCCAGAGAGACATCCACGTCTCTCTGGAAGGAGCAGACATCCATGTCTCTCTGGAAGGAGGAGACATCCATGTCTCTTCCTCCAGTCATGGAGACATGTTCAGATAGTAGGATTAGTTTGTCACCCAAAGATAGCTCCTTTGGCCCCCAGGAGAGTGATGAGACTCTTCCTTGTTATTCATAACCAACCATTACTGCTTATTCACGTGTGACTTTTTTTGTTGTTATTTACTCGACTTAATGCTCAGTGCATTTATTACATTAGACAAGAAATCCCTCTTTGTATATGTGAAATCAATATTTTGCACCCTTTTCGTATCCTGTCTACATAAGCTGCATTGTTAATTTCGCAAATACTGTTAAAGTGCAAAGTTTTAAAGTTATGACTGAGAAATAAACAGTTTATCTGGAATACAGTTGTCTGCATGTTGTTGATTATTATTTTTGTTTTTGTTTTTTGGTGGAACCTTTTACTCTAAGGCAATCATTAATCAAAGAATGAAAAAAGTGTGGCTTTGCATTGAAGACAGAAACAGGTTTTTCTAGAAATCATTGAGATGAAGCGGTAACCTTTCAAGCCTGTAGAAATATGAGATCTCCACACAACCATGGCAGCTTAGGGGAAAACACAGCACTGTTCTAGAAACAACACACATTTATAGAGTTGAGAAAAGCCATTCCTAGTCTGGAATGTGGTCACTGTCGCTGCCATGCAGGCGGTAGTTGTATGAGTTTCACATACTCTAAATGATATCTAGCAATGTATTTTTGTGCTCTGTGGAGGACGTAATTGTGTGAGACCACTACTTAAAACATCATTTATGCAATCTATACGAGTCCTACTATACTGTCAGGAGAAATCAGTTGAGCAGAATGAATAGATTTCTTCTTCCCCCTGTTGATTTATTTAATTACTGTTCTAAAAGTACATTTAACTGTATCTCTCCTGTCTTTATCAAATCAGTTCAAATTATTCAGAATTCGGGTTGAAATGGTTTTTCACCATGAAACATGAAAACAGGAAAAAATCTGCCCAAAACTACCAAGACAGCTGGTCCTCTAATTACGTCAAACAGAAAAGATGCATCCAGGTTTCAGAGAAACGTAAAGGTCAGAACACACAAACCAGAGGGATGTCCTCAACTACGAACATAGCATTAGACATGAAAACATTGTACGTCTGATCTGTGTATGTTGATAACCTCAGATCTGAATTTACAGGTTTCTGGTTGTAGCTATGAGTCGAGGCAGATCCTTCAAGATTAGGCAGCCCATCAAAGTAACGATCTTGATATCTCTGAAAGAACGTCCTCTGGGAGGTGAGAACTCTCTCAAACAGTGCTGTCATGGAAAGACGATTCCCTTCATTGGCTGGTGTCCTGTATGGCAACTAAGAAACCAAATCCCACAACTTCAAAGCCTTAGCTTCCATAATGGACTTTGGGTGTTGTTATTCTGCCCCTTTCAAGTTCCTCAAACCCTGGCCTGAACTTTCACCTTCCAGCTCTAATGTCTGTCCCCCTTCAACAGTTTGAGGAAAATGCTTCACTCAGCACTCTGTCATACCAGCTATGATCATTGAAGTGCCATTGGTGACATGACCTAACCAGTTTTCAGTATTCCAATATGTTTCATTGATCTATTGTAATTCACGTGAAATAAACTAAAAATTTAACTTTGCCATAAATCCACATAAAAATGAGACAAAATATAATTCTGTGATCAAATAAGACTTGATGTCCACTACAAAAGACTGAAGATAAAGAATAACAAGTAAAGAAATAACAATTTAAAATCTAAGTATTAAAAAAAAATTTCTTCTTGGATGAGCCGCAGCCAGCGCTCACGGTTTCCAAGTATTTATGTTTGATTTAGGGGAAAGTGACTTAGGGACTAGAGGAAATGATACTTCGCTCTTTAGCAGATCCAATGAACTCACTTCCAGTTTCACTGTTCGTTGATTAGGCAACTATAGTATCCATCTATGCATTCTGCCCCTCACTCAGTGGAAACATCTGTTTAAAACCTGGATTCAACACTCCTCTGCTTTAACTGTCTGGTTTCTCACAAATGAATAACATCATGTTGCTGAATAAGCACAGCTGTGGAATCGTGCAAATAAAATCCCACTGACTCATTGTGCTTTAGGTTTTTGGGGAGGGAGTATGTGATGACTGTATGTTGTAATGCTGCAGGCAGTTCCACACCCCTCTGGTGAAGATAACACTTTGTAGCTCAAAAACTACACTCTTACACTCGGCCTGAAACCAAAGCAGCATCAGTCTAAGTCAGTTTATATGCTGAAGTCTGACTTTTATAGATGCTTTGTGCTCAAATCAATCAACCACTTGTAATTAATGATATGTGACATTTAAAGATCTCATAATAACGCCCCGAAAGAACACATTGCTGTCACATAGCTGGGTTCTTGTGGTTCCTGGGATATTTAAAAGTAAAATTGAAGGAAGAGCCTTCTGGTTTAAGATCCCTTTTCTGTGAAACCAACTCTCAGTTTAGATTCAGGGGAAGATACCCTCTCTACTTTTAAGATTAGGCTTAAAACTTTCCTTTTTTATAAAGTTCTTCCTCTCCTCATCTCCAGCCAGACATCTCAGACCTGGCAGTCCCTGAGCCTGGTTCTGGTGGAGATTTCTTCCTGTTAAAGGGAAAGTTTTTCCTTCCCACCGTCACTAAGTGGTTGTTTGATTGTTGGGGTTTTCTCCATATTATTGTAGACCTTACAATATAAAGCTCCTTGAGGCAACCGCTGTTGTGATTTGGCATAAATATATAGTCATCTGACAATTTATTAGATATACCTTACGAGTTTTGCCTTCAG